TTTTATATATTTAAATTTGTTAAATCTTTTAAAATTATTAATAAAATCTTTTCTATTATTTATAAATTAAATTTATTTTATAATATAAAATTATATTTAATATTTTATATCTTTTTATTAAAGAAATATAATTTTAATAATAAATTTAATAAAATCTATTTTTATTTATTATTATTATTTTAATAATAAAAAAGAATATAAAATAGAAAATATTATTAATAAATATTATAAATTTCAATATTTTATTAAATAGTTAAATTATTTTTTTTATAATATTATTTGAAAATTTCTTGAAAACTTAAAATATTATAAAAAAATAAATATATTTAAAAATATATATACTTAAATATAATAAAAATATTATAGTTTAAATAGAAAAAGTATATAATAAATTTTAAATAAATTAAATTTTTTTATTTTAAATTTTTATTTTATGCTTTTTTATGTTATATTTATTAGTTTATATTATTTTTTTTAAAAATTAATTTTATATTAAATATATAAATAATTATTATATATTAAATTAAATTAAATTAAATTATTATATATTATTATATTAATAATTATTATATATTTTATAATTATTAATTTAAGTTATTAATATTTTTTTACTCTTATTATTTCTTTTTAATTATTAGTTATATATTAATTATTACTTTTAATTTATTAAATTAAGTATAGTATTATTCTCTAAAAATATAATTTAAAATAATTAATTTATTAATTATATAAAAATTAATATATATTACTCTATTTTATACTTTTAATTATAAACTTGAATTATTTTAAATATTAAAATTCTAAATAAATAAATAATCTTATAGTTTAAGTTTTTTATTATTTTTATTATTTTTTATTTTATATTATAATTTCTTTAATTATATATAATATAATATTTTATAATAATAATAAGTATAAAATTTTATAAATAACTTTATTTATAAATAATATTTAGCTTATAATTTTTAATTTTATCTTTTATAACTTTTTTATTATTTAAATAAATAAAATTTATATTTAATTTTATTAATCTTAATAAAAAAAAGTCTATTAATAAATATAATAACTTAATTAAATTTATTTATTTATTCAAAATAATATTACTATCAGAGTCAAAATTGAAAATTTATTAAATAAATTTATATAATATAATATAATATAATATAATATAATATAATATAATATAATATAATATAATATAATATAATATAATATAATATAAAATAATAAAATATAATATAAAATAATAAATTAATAATAATTTTATGATTAGAACTTCTTTTAAAACTTTTAATTAATATTACTTTTATTTTTAAGTCTTTTAATAAATTTTTAATGACTTTCAATAATAATATTGCAAAATAATCTGATTTTTTTATCTAATTTTAAAATCAAGTTAATTATTATATTTATATTTTGAACTTATATACATGTAATTATATTTAAATAATATATATTTTTAATAATTAAAATTTAATTTAATAATTAATTAGGTTTATTTAAATTATATAATATATAAATAAAAAACAAAAATATATTATAATATAAATAAAAATATCTTTATTTAATATTAATAAAAAATAATTACATGTAATACATGTAATTAAGCAGTTTTAACTTTATTCTTAAAAATTATAATTAAAATATAATTCCTATAATTTATTTTTATATTATTTAATTTTGCTTTTCTGAATATCTAAATTAATATTGAAAAAAATGTTAATTAGGTTATAATAATAATAATCTAAAAAATATAATAACTTGCCAATTCTCAGCTATTTTAGCATTCAAATTTGTGTGCTAAAGTGACGGTTTAATAAATGACTTGAGATTTAAAATTATCCGCCAGCAACATTTTTCTGAGATATATATAAGGAGCCTATTCGAAGCGTTTAGTTCCAGTATACGATATGCTAAAATGCGAGTCCATAATTGAACTGATTCCATTATGAAATAATATCGAGATGCAACCACTCGAACGAAATGATTTTGTTGCAAATACATATTGTGAAAAACCACCGCTTAGTTCCTGACATTTATATTTTTCTCAGTCCATTGAAAGGTATGCATTTTAAATTTTTTTTATCAGGGTCAGCTTCCGTTATTTCTACAATACTACATGCGTGCTATGTAGGAAACAGACGAATTAAATCACGCTTATTACTTTCCTTGAATCAACACTAATGACTGAAACACATTTGGTAAGCTAACTTTGACCAGCTGATCAACCAGTGTTCTCAAAATTGCACTGAACCGGCTATTTACGATTCTTTATAGCCAGATGGAAGACCATATGTTTCAGTCAGTGATACTTGCTCCCACAACCCCAATTAGCATCATATTTTTGTCCATTGTGTACCTCGCTCCATAAATTCCGTCAGTCTGATAAACCAGCGCACCGATCTTTGTGCGCACAAAAAATAAAACACATAGGAACAAATCTAAACCGCCGTTCTCATAGGAACTCAGACTTCGAACGATGAGCTTGATATCTTCCACACCAATTATAATTATAGATATCATAATGGCGTATACATGTATTTATTAATTCAGTATATAGATACAAGGATTTAGCTTGACAAGCCGCCAAATCGTTGGAACTCCACCGAGTTGCTTATCAAGTTTACCTCCATGTTACTAAATACACAATCATAAAATCTGTGATCGAAACCATTTCGATTTAGCGTATCTCGGCTTAGGATGACTTCATCAAACTAATAAGAATGCTTCAGCAATTTATTACTTCGTCATTCAGAGTATCAACGCGTACAAAGATATGATGCCCTTAATTTCTGCTCGTTTTTCTTAATTGTGCATACGTTTATCCCGTATCTCTTGCAAGAATTTCGTGGTTTCCCGTGTATATTTATTTTATTTAGATAAGCCTCAGTTAATGAGGTAACTACTCCGTCAAATCCAAAACTTTATTTCACCAAGACAAACATCAATGAACTGTATTTCGTTTACATATTGTTGAATTATAATTTTTATTTCTCTCTGATCTAATAATTTAGATATAGCCGTATCCAACTATCAAGAATATGAAATTATTTCAACATCCGAAGTTTAAATGCTCCATTTTGAGAATAAGATGAAGGAAGCTTCAAATCTCTTGTTTGTATGAGAATCAGACTATAAAGGAACTCTTTTCTCCATTTTTGATTTATTATACTCTAATATGATCTTGCGTAGCTGACTATTAAACCCTTTTCTCCATTTTTGATTTATTATACTCTAATATGGTCTTGCGTAGCTGACTATTAATAATCTATATCATATCTCAATCTTAAAAGCGTATTGGAGAGCTTCCTTCATAATAAGTGACCCTTAATTGAAAACTTAGAGCTCTTTTAATCAAAAAAAAATTATAATAGTAATTCACTATGAGCATCTTTTCGAACGTTGGCATTGCAAGTCGTCAGTTTTCAGTTATTGATGCATGTGCATGTAATTTGCGATTTTTACTTTAAAGTGAGCCCTTGTTAACTGCGTGAGTCATCCCGTATTCGCTGAATTACATTTTCGATTATTATTGCCAACGGTTTGATTTGTTACAGAGTTATTTCGCCGATGTCTCGTATTAATACGTGTGCATGTGGCTCGAAAAATTGCAAATATCATTAAATATCATGCATCGTATTAATATTCCATAAATCATAACGATAATACGTACCAATAATTTAAATTAAAAAAAACCAACTTCCATGCAGTAGCTTCATTCACTCTATCGCATAAAGAATATATACGGAGCAAAGATTTACACGATACATGCGCATGAAAGAACTACATGTGCCTGATAATAAGCCCGGTGTTACCCTTGTTATACCATGTCAATTAATATACTTGATTGCATCAATAAATACATGTAATTCCAAGACGTATTGGATGACATACCGTATGGATACATGTACATGTAACTGAAATTATGGTTCAGTATTTTATTCTTTTGCTGCTGATTGAAGACATTTGACATTGAATTCCTGGCTTTTCTTTTGTTTCTCGCTCGGTAAATGACAATAAAAAGGCAGAAATATCATAAGATTTTGATGTCATGATAAATAAGGCATTCTTACCGTCTATCAAAGCGATTCATTAGCCAATAGCAAAATACAATTTTCTGCCCTTCGAGAAACTGACCAATCAGAATGTCGGCTGTTATCTCCAAGGAGAATCTTTTTTCACAAACAAATAATACGCACAACACATGAATATTTTGTTGTTTCTCTTTTGGTGACAAAGCAGCGGTAAAAAACCTTTGTGGATTTTTGCCCTGGCTTCTGGTACTCCTGGAAAGTTTCACTTGTGTTAACTGGCTGTTAGGTTAGTTTTGGTCTTGTGTATTTTGATAGTGTGTGTGAGACAGGCAGCACTTCGACGAAATTGCATTCTTGAAGGAAATAACTGAAAAGTCTCCAGGCAGTATTTGGAAATAGTAAATATTGATATTTGGAGACGAACAATAGGTTATTGCGGTTGCATTGGACCTCTATATTTTACAAATACCCCAAATACATTTTTTTTTGGTATGTCGGCCGGGTCCTTTTCAGCTCGGCGTGGATATAATATATTGCGTGCAATGACTAAAGTTTATTATTGCATTTATTTCATTTCTTAAATCTTGAATGATAAATTATTTCTGGTATTAAGGCAGGTCATATAACAAGGTAAGAAAAAATATTTTTAATGTTGATTTTTTGAAGGAAAAAAAAAGGGGGGGGGGGGGAATAATTATCCCAGGAAAAATACACAAAATTAAAAATAATAATCTCAGATACAATTCAATTCCGGGACTTCTAGCATGATAGAATAAATAGTTAAGAGAAGGGAAACAAATCCTCTATTGACGCGTCTTTTTTAAATCCTTGACAATTCCAAGGAAAAAAAAATATTCACCAATATCAGTTTTTTCAATGCTTCGAAATGCACAAATCTGATTCCATTCATTATTAATATCAATTAACAATGTTTGCTTAAAAAATTATTTCCACAGCGTTTATTAGATGGCCAAAACAAAAATCACGCAAAAACTCAGCAGTACCTACGGCTCTGAAAGACGTATATCCGTAATTTCGAAATCGGCATCGATTAACAGTAACGGTGTAGTTAACGGCGGTGACCTTGATCGAGAAAATTTATCAAGAATGAAGGCACAAACTGAAGCTGTATGTCCTATCTTTTTGATTATAGGCTCGTTCCGTGCAATTATCTTATTACTTCACTTCATTTAATGCTAAATAAATTCATACTTTTTTATATCAACAAAATAAGGCTGCAGATGTTTTTGAACAAGCAGCAAATAATTGGAAAAAAGCCAACCAACAGATACTCTCATGGCAGCGCGTAATGTCTGATGAACATCCTATATTTAAGATGCGCACTCCGATGCATAATACGTCACGTAATCATGACTCAGAGGTTTCAAGCGAAGAAGCTCTATCTGAACCGGAAGATGGCGAGGATGAAGTCTCCCAAATGAATGTTAATGGTGATAGCGAAACTGATGATAGCGAAGATGATGAAGAAGGTGAAACATTTCTAGATCCACCTAAGTCAAAAAAGAATAACGTAACCAAGAAAAACAAAGGAAAGAGTCGGGATTTGGGAACAAATAAATCCTCACCTCATAAAAATCTGAACCACAATAAGAGTCGCAAACGAATCGGATTACAGAATGTTCTTCCGAAGCAATCAAAGAAACCGAAATATAAGAACGACGCGACGTTTGCAAAGACAATAAAGAAAGAAATGAAACAAATGATCGTTGACACCAAATCTTCTGAGCCGGAAAACGTCATCAGAGCCCCTGACGCCGAAAAAACTGAGGATTCGGAAATATTCGATTCTTTACCCGAGCTCAAGACACCAAGGGTTCCAAAGAATGCGTATTTGTATTTCGTGTCCCAGCGATTTGCAGATGTGAAAGTAGGATTTCCGCATCTTAAAATGGGTGAAGTTAATGCAAAAGTAGCAGAGATATGGAAAAATTTATCAGAAGAGGAGAAAGAGGTGAGCGAAGAAAATTGAAACTGAATTCTAAATGCAATTTTTTAAACCATATTATTTTATAAGAGTATCGTAGTGGAATTCCAGGCGCAGCAAAAGAAATACGGTGTTAATGGAATAGTGAAACCTTCAACGCCAAAGACATCACGTAATGTGTCGACTCCTGAATCTTCAAAATCAGCTGTTGCCTCCTATGCGTCATCAAAACTCTCAACCCCGACTCGCTCATCAAAAAAACCCAATTCTACCTTAAAGAAAATCGAATCAAATTCACAAAAACTTTCATTCGATTCATTGAGTGCGTCAACATCGTCACCACCTTCCTCTGCTGTCTCTACTCCGACTAAACCAAAGACTCCCGTAAAATCTAAATCTATGGAAATCAAAGATGAAGTTGATGATAATAATGATAATGATAATAGTAGTGACAATAAGAATGATAATGTCGATAAGGATGATAACAATAATGTTGATAATGACAGTAGTAATAATAATAATACAACGCCATCGCATGGAAAAAAAGCTCGTCTTGAGTCTGTTGACGATAAGAGAAATCATCATAAAGAATCGATTAAAGGAAATAATGTTGCTATTACTCCTGATCGAAATTCATCACCATTACCATCACCTCTTGACACAAGCTTCGATAGCCAAAAAGGTTTTTATGAGGAAGAAGTACCCTGGGTTTTGCCTATCGTTGGGACTCCTACGTCATTTGGTTTGAGTCCATTTCGTAGACGAAAAATTCGAAAAAGCATCAGCAGCAACAGTAGTAGGATTAGTGATGATTATTATCATGATCAATAACGCATTGTTATTTTCAAATGGTACCTATTTGAAATATTTGATAGAATCTAAAAATTACTTGGCTCTGACATCATCAACACAAATCAAAAGTAGAATTTTTGTCTTGAATATTCTGTATATATTGTTTAGTTGATTCCACGATGATTCTGTCATGTATGTATATTTTTTTATTTTCTTTTAAATGTACATGTTTAAATTTTTTTGATAGGTTTTCTCTTTATTAATTTTCACACTTTTCATTTAATGCAAGTTTTTTTTTTGATTAATGATCAGTAATTTAATAGGATTGTAAATTTTTTTGATAATAAAAAAATAGTGATTGTGATTTTTTGTTGGATGTCATGAACATGTCATCCTCTCATATGTAGATCCCAATCTTTTGAAATACATGTGCATGTACATGCAAATCAAAATACATGTACATGTACATCGATATAGATGTACATGTACACTATGCTATGTCTTGAGATTTCTTGCTTTTTTTATTAACCCGACCCGATTCTGTATGTTTCGTTTAATAACTATATTTCTAAGTTGTCCGCTTTTCTTTCAGATCGAAAATCATTAATTCTGGTTATACGCCGCCTTGATTTGCTTTGCAATTAAATTGAAAGACTTCCATAAAGACGATAATTGAATTCAGCATTCTTCTATTTGGTAGTATACGGTCTTTTGAAAATTGTTTGCATAAACAGAAAGAATGATACGTATTAGAATTAACGTCGACGAACGCTATTCTCTTGGTTCGTTGTCATAATAAATAAAAGGTTACTTATACAAAACTGAAATATTTAGCCTTGAAGGATGAAATATTTTGATTATTTCAAATTGTGATAATCTACAACTATATAAAATATTTGAAATACAAGGGACTCAAAATAGTCTTGACTTGATATAGTACAGTAACTTTCACACTATAGTTCTCGTGACCCAATGCCTTTACAAGAGTCGCTTGTATATTTTCAGTAGCTAAATTCAAGAAAATAGAGTTTGGAACTGGTTATATATATATATATTTAATATTCAAATTCGAATAAAACACGTATTTTGATATTGCATTTTTTATTCACACGAGAAATATTTCCTGCATGATCTTTTTGAGACGCAAATTTTTATAAAATTAAAGACAAAACATTTTAGTTTTGAGAACTATATAAAATCAAATTTGTCATGAATCAAATCTTCTGTTAAAATAAATGTAAATTAATTTCTTCATAAAATTACCAAATTAATGATACCACTTAACAATAATAACAGTCATGTTCCTCGTAGTAAAAGCAACGACAGCCATTCATCATTTTGTCAACCACATCAAAGATATCGTCGCACTCAGTTTCTGAATACGCACGTGCAAAACATTTCAAAGCCGTGTGCATATCATGAACGGTTCCTTTCCCATCACTATAATAAAAACCGAGTCTAAAATAAGCATTTGGTCTTCTAGTCGCCGCTTTCGAATACCATTTTACCGCCTTTATTTGATCTTTGTGACCTCCACCCGGAAAATACTCGTCATAATTTTCTGCGACGCGCATTTGTGCATACGAATTATCACTTTCTGCTGCCTTCATGAAATATTTCAATGCTTCTTCTTTATCTCTCATACTCCCGATTCCCAAAGAATAACACAACCGTCCGGCATGATTATTGTTGAAGGCGGATTGCTGATACCAATAGACACTTTTTTCTAGATCCCGTTCTGTCCCAATTGCAAGTTCGTAGCATTGACCGAGTAAAAATTGTGCATAACTGTCGTTTTGCTCTGCTGATTCCTCAAAGCATTGAAAACCAAGCTCGAGATTGCGTTCTTTATATTGATAGAAAAATCCTAATAGTGTCGTATATTTGCAATTTCCATGAGAACTTTTTAAAAAGTTCATAACCTCGCAATGATCTGTTGCTTTGATGTCATCCATAATCTGCCAATTTCCTTCATCGTACGACTTTTGAAAATTATTCAATAATCCATTGACTCTTGAGACAATTGATTTATCAATGAAAACTTTTGTTGAGAAATAAAATGTTTAACAATATTCAATAATCAATAACTTTAGAATAGATGAGCTAAAAAAAATTACCTTTGGATGGATCATTTTCATCCATAATATTAAGTGAGAAAAAGATTTTTAAGAAAAAGGTTTTGTCATAATGCTGATCAAATAGATATACATGTACAATTTATACATTGTATCATGCGCAAATTACACGATGATCTAGAACTCTAATCACATGGACATATCCATCCCCATACAATTTCTATAAATAAAGCGAATTATGATAGTGTTCTAATGAATTCTCGTGATCGTATGTCCGCTTGACGCGTAGGTTCGGGTATTCGATATCGACAACATTTAAGCACTACTTGTATAGCAGTATCAAGACTAATACGATGCCCTACAGAAACAAATATTGGATTCGTTGTATTATCCAGGCTTCTAACCGCCTAAACTCAATCAATCAATTAATCATTATTGATTCCAATTTCACCAATTCAAAATCAAAAAAAAAAAAAAGGAAACCAACCGCTCCCCAATACTGTCCCGAATCACCTCGCAAATAATAAACATCTCCACCCTTCCCCAACAAAACTTTACACTGTTCCTTTACATGCGTCATTGTTAACTGGTCACCATCATCATTTATTTGAAGAAAATTCTTGCCAACGCCAATCGTGGGCACATTTACCAGCACGCCTAAATGACAGGCTAATCCAAATCGGCGTGGATGGAGAATTCCATTTCCGTCTACAAAAATCACTTTGGGGTAGATTTCTGGTCTTGTGGTTTTTAGCGTGGAAATTAAGTCAACTAGTGGTTTGACTTCCCGAAAAGCTAGAAAGCCTGGTATATATGGGAGTTTTAGTTTCACTGATTTGAAATCTTCATATATTACCTGAAATTTAAAACATTCTAATAATATAATTTTGAATTTAATCCATCGATATGATGTAAATAAAAAAATAACCTCCAACTCTGGAAACTTTAGCACTACTAGAGAAGCAACAGCATCTTCCTCGTTCTCTTGTACAAAACTTATATCAACACCTCCAACAAAATCCAATCCCCGAAAAGAACAACTACCATCAACTTGATTTATTAATTTCTCGAAATCAAAATCATCGGATTCGATAAGTTGCGCTTTTAGTTCAAGCTGTTCTCTTTGAAATCGGTAAAATCAACATTTTAAATCTTAAAATTTACGTAAAAATACGTATAAATTTTACCTAATCCATTCTTCTTGCCGCTGTTGATCGCCAGAAGACATTTTTTATCGGATCAACTAACAACGGTTGTTTTTTTAAATACACGTCAAATGCGTAACGGTAGTACAAAAAGCGGACAACATACTTCGTCATCATGCATATTTTTTTTAGTTACACTTTGGACAATGTCAAACATACCCACGCCAACAGAGACTGGTGCAAGTCAAATAGTTTCCAAAGTCGTTGAGCAAGAACCTCACGTCATAAAAAAAGAGCCTCTAAATACTGCGGACTCACGTTGGGTTGGTCTATACAAGTTAACCTATGTTGATCCTTATGGACAAGAAAGGGTAGGAACAGATAGACTTTGAGCTCCGTTTTGAATCAATATTCTTTTTCTCTACAATTAAAACTTTTATTTTTCCTTTCCGATAAAAGACAAGATACTTAAGTACCATCCATCAACTCATAAGAATTCATATCATTCATTCCATGATTCAAACCGGAGCTCTCTGTCATTATCAAAAGTCCTTATGGTGATTGTAATTTGGCATTGACATCCTTTTAGTTCTGGGAAAGCGTGGAAAGAAAAACAAAAAGAACCAACGAATTGACTGGTATCTAATATTTTTGTCATAATATGCGTGTGACTTTGTTGTAATATTTGATAGAGAATTTATATTGTTTTTCGCCTTTCAAAAATAGTTGTTGGAATCGTCGCGATATTGACCTCAAAAGAGACTGCAGAGCGTAAAACTTTGCTATGCATACAGTTTCGACCTGCCGCTGGAGTAAAATGTGTTGAATTTCCAGCAGGTTTTATAAATTGTATGATTCTCCATTATTTTTTTTTCACTCATTTATTTAAGTTGTCCTACGATAGGATTGATCGATGAGGGAGAAACTTTCGAGCAAGCAGCGCATCGTGAACTTTTTGAAGAGACTGGATACCGCGGGAAAACAGTTTCTAACACTTATAAGATGTCCTCTAATGCTGGACTATTGAATTCTGCAACGAAACTGGTTTTCATAGAGGTACTCGATTGATTATTTCCTCCACCGCTTTGCCATCATTTTTACTATGAATATTAATCATTCATTAATACGTGGTTGCCCTAACTGTATAAAGGTGGATCTCGATGACGAAATCAATAAAAATCCAAAACCATCGCTTGAGGAGGGAGAATTTATCGCTGTTGTGACAGTTCCATTTCGGAATCTAAATAAGACGTTACAAGGTAAATTATTGTTTGTTTCTAATATATGTATAAATGAAATTCTTTTTTCTCTGATCTCCGCTTTATTCTTTTTACTATGATATGCAGAATATGAGAAAGATGGATACGGGATCGATTCTCGACTTGCCTCTTTTGCATATGGATTAGAGATGTCTTCCTATTTATCTTGAGAATTTATTTATTTGTTGATCATTACTATAATTAATTAATTAATTAAATTAAAAACGATATTCAATAAAACCCTAGTAACACAACAAAATAATGAGAAGTTTTTAATCTGTTATATTTTGCCGGTTATTCAAATTAATATCAATCAGAAATACGTCACTGTCCCCCAAATTGACAACTGACAATTGAAAATATCGGAGTAAAACACTTGAGGGTTCAGCTTTATTTGACGAAGGAAGTCATCACATTATCTCGAAAGGTATTACGCAACATCAAAATGTGTAGTGGTAGGCATGATTATTCTTCATTCATGTAATACCCATCTTTATCACAATACCCTTTCTCGTAAAAATTATGATGTAAGAATTTTTTTGCCAGTTAAAAATATATAAAACAATTATTGCTAACTTTCTGTCGAAGTTGTTGAAAATCATAATATTAACCACCATCAAATTCCCCACCGCTTGAAGTCATGATCCAACTCCAGCACTTTAAACAGACGTATTCCTTGATATCTGGGCATTGCATGAAATCATGACCATACGCATGGTTTAACACAGTGATCAAAAGGGGGCGAGCCAATTAGACTTTTCGAAAGGAGGACGTCTTTCGATCTATATAATTCTTAAAGATGAACTTACCGATTATTTCTCCCATTTTATTTCGGGACGCGAACTCAGCGTCCGATTGTTGGATTTGAGCTAAAAAGACAGATATTGGATTCGCCTCGATAAGACGAATTTGAACGATGAATTTTGGCTCAAATCCAACAATCGGATGTCGAGTTATCGTGTCCCGAAACGAAAGTTGGTAGGTTCACCTTATTGCAATCTAACAATGCTTAAAATTTATCTGCGGATTCCCCCGGATTTTTTTATTTAGAGGCTTGGTCTTCGGCAATAATAATACTTGTTATATATTCTTGAAAGGATATGTCCATTCTATGAGTAAAAGTATGAGAAAGCTTATTATACGATATTTCACGCTTTGTTCTTAGAATATAAAAGACGGCTTCTAGCATCATCGTTATAAGTAATCAATGCTTTGTGCTTCAATGTATATAAATTATTTTAATCACTATAAAAGATTTATTTCTCGAATTGTATCAAATCGCCGCGATTACGGACATTTAAAATACTAAAAGCTCATCTATCAGAGTGAAAGAGACGATAACGGTTTATATTTGATATATCGAAATTTCGAAGAAAAATTCTTCCTTCTGTAACATACAACAATAAGCGTTGCAAATATAAATGGCGTTAGAAATTTCTTGTGACATTATAGAACACTCCCATATATCGCAGAAATAGCCGATACATCATGGGTACTTCTGCCAGGTTCACTATGTTAGCTTGAGTAACTTGAGTAATTACACATGTAACTTGAGTAATTACACATATGTCCATGTCGATGTATTCTGTTTTTGAACGAGATTTTTTGGCATATAAAATCTCTGTATCGACGACTGATAAGATACATTAGCAGTGTTTTTAAATGATCAAATTTATTGTCGTTCTATAGCTTCTTTGCCTGTAGTGGTACTCTTTAGGTTGCAGAAAACCAAGCCTCCGCAATAAAATATCTTTAGAATACCAGGAGAATTATTAAAATTAGTTTATATAAAATAACTATAACCTCCAAAAGAGGTTCCCTTTCGAAAAAGTTATCTTTCTGATCGATGTGCTGTTTTATGAAATATCAAGAACGGTTATTTGTTTGCCATACGCAAGGAAATTTTCTTTCGTTGATGGTCAGTATATCAGAATACAGTGCTAGGTTCTGGCGGCGGATTATCAGAATTTCATTTTTCGGATGGTCAGCTTTTTTCACAACATTTTTCAAAAAGCCGTTCTAGTCTTTAAGGAAATATTATCTAATGTCAGATCAAAAACGGTAATCTAATTAAATTTAAGATACCCGAAAGACCTTTTCTTGAAGCAATATATATTCCATTCTATAAAAAAAGATTATGGTAAGAAAAAATGTGAGCACTTTGTCCGCGTCACGAAATTGTTATTAAATACTGTATTAACTAAAATATGATACCAATTTTTTAATACAATAAAAATATCATGAGTAATTAATATCGATACAATTGTCATAAAATATAGGAATGATTCTTCAAACACGGCTGTGTGGATTTATCTTCTGCGTACAGCCACCGTAAAAGGTACTAATCAAAAATATACCTTGAATAGTTGAAAGATATGAAAATTGTTGATGTCTTCTTCTTTTTTAAGGTAAAAAGGGGTTTTATTAATTTTGTTTTTTCTGTTTTTTTTTCTTCAAAGACCTTTTGATGTTTTTTTTAACCTTCCTTGTTATTAAACAAAATTAGACTCAAAGAAATTATCACAAATTGTTTATCGTTATCAACAATGGGGTTTTCTGTCTCAGGGGAGGGGATATTGTATAAACACTATATGTTATAATGACAACGTGACAAGATAAAAAAGAATTTCCCATGACAATTAACATTTTTGTTGTGTCTTAACAGCTTTAACATTTAAGGATTTGTTTCTATGAAAAATGTCTCTTAGAATAATATTACCAATCAATAACGTTATTACAATTCAAAATTATATGTATTTGCAGACAATTGCGCTTTTTTTCTTATTTAATTTCGTCTTTCTCGATCTTTTTTCTTAATTAGTCTCACTAGGTGGAAGGCTTTGATCACCCATCTTTTCGATTTTTTTAAAAGTTATTTCCCATATTTGTTAAATTTACGATTATTTCGTTCTAAAATAGCGGAAATTTTTCTCTTTAACAAATTATTAGTTTAGCATTTCATAAAAAAAATAATATTTATCCTCAGGATTAATAATGAAGATTAGAAAAAAAGACGAAAATAAGAAAAAAAGCGCAAACGTATAAGTTTGAATTGTAATAAAAATATTGATTGATAGTATTGTTCTAAAATAACCATAACTTTGTACATGTATATCGATATATATTAATTATATAACGTGAATTAACCAAGATTTTCTATTTAATTTATATGACGTCATCACGATGAAAATGCCGTTTATGCAAAAATTCTGTGCCACCAAAAATCTTCCGAAGCAAGAAAAAGAAAATGATGATGCCACCATTCGATTCGTCTAGTTACTGCGTATTTTTTTTCATCATCATCATCATTGATTAAAGAATTTTAAACTGTATAATTTTTATTTTTTCGTTTGAATGGCGGTGTTTAAAATTTAAAAGTGCCCAAAATATTTTGCGAGGGGTCTGTATGAATCCCTACAACTTATACATGTATATTCAAAGCCCAACGATTCCTAACGCCATTTTTTACTCTTACAAACTCCGTACATTTGAATTTCTACGAAACTCTTCGTAATATGCGAGCATCTCTGACGAAATACGTCTAGTGCAAGATTCTATTGCTTTAAGAAAATGACGATGATGTATCTAGTTATATAATAGAATGAAAAAATTAAGAAATTTAATTATATGAGCATTAGAGAAGTGAAAAAAGAAACCGATATTACTTCCGTGGCCTCCAAATCTTCTTCCATTGCGAGTAATCCCGCTTCTTGACACAACGCAACAATTTCCGCGCCTGAACATCCCTCAGTCTAAATAACATTTGAAAAAATCAAATCAAAAAAATTATAATCACTACTTGAAGAATTTAGTAAAAAGAAATTATCACAGACTTTCTCCGCTAACTCCTCAACATCTAAGTCCTCAGCAACAGACATCTTTTGCAACTGAATTCGAAATATTTCGCGTCGTGACAATAAATCGGGTGGACCTACATACAGTATACGGTCGAATCTCCCTGGTCGAATTAGTGCTTTATCCTATTTGAATGATAAAATATAAAAGAATGAGCTCTAGAACGAGTTTGCGAATTTCGCATTTTCGTACCATTACATCAGGCCGATTTGTAGCTGCCACTATTGTCACATTAACAAGTGGTTCGATACCGTCCATCTCATTCAGCAATTGTGAGAGAACGCGATCAGCTACGGATATTTGACCTGAACCACCTCGCTTTATAGTCAAAGCATCAATTTCGTCCTATAAATCAAAACGATTATAATAAATATACAAATGCACTTGAGAATTAAAAAAATTACCATCATACTTACGAAGAAAACAATAGAAGGTGCCGCCGCGCGTGCTTTTCGAAATACTTCTCTAATAGCTTTTTCTGATTCGCCAACCCACTTGCTCAATAACTTATAAGAAATAAACAAATTAGTCGGAAAAACTAACACATTGAATTTTCGAATTCCCAAAAAAAAATTAATAAAAACCTCTGGTCCTTTAACCGTAATAAAATTTAACCCAGCTTCGGTAGCCAAAGCCTTTGCCATTAAAGTCTTACTACATCCTGGTGGTCCATAAAGCAAAATACCCTTTGGAGGATGAATTGAAAATCGAGTAAACATTTCAGGATGCTTTAATGGCCATTCAACCGATTCTTTAAATTTTTGTTTGATTTCTTCTTGTCCACCAATATCATTCCAATAAACTTTTGGCACTTCAAGAATAATCTTATATTTCAAATTAAGTCAAAAAATTATAAAGTTAAATCCATTATAAAACTAAGAATTGAGCACCTCTCGCATAGCACTTGGCCGAATCTCATTCATCGCGGATTCCATATCTGGCATCGTAAGTTTTATATCGACTGGTAGTTACATGAATACTTCAGCATAAGTCAAAATTTCCGGGAATATTGTTTTCTTTTACTCAAGAAATATGTACCTTGGCCGTCAGATTTAATGATTCGTTTTAGAGCTTTCAGCCCAGCTTCGCGACAAACAGCCGCCAAATCCGCACCCACATATCCATGAGATTTAGCAGCCAATTTCTCCACATTTTCATTCGTCAAATCGTTCGGTATTGTCTCGAGCAATGTACGAAAAATTTCAACCCGAGAATCTGCATTTGGAATGCCTAAAATATCATGATTGATACGCTTAAATTCATTCAATAAAAAAAAACGACACATCAATGAAATAAAATTAGTTGAACGATTTACCAATTTCAATTTCTCTATCAAATCTTCCCGGCCTTCTTAATGCCCGATCTAATGAATTTGGACGATTCGTTGCGCCAACAATGACAATTCGATCTTGTTGGTTCCCAGATTTTTTGCTAGAAATACCGTCCATGAGCGTCAATAATGTAGCAACGATACGTTTTTCCGATTCATTGTCAGCCTGCAAAAGTTTTATTAAAAATATACAAATAAACTTTAACAAAAAGAGAGTTATTAAACAAACCTCATCTCGACTAGTACATAAAGCATCAATTTCATCAATGAATATTATAGAAGGCGAGTTTTCTCTTGCTTCCTCAAATAATTCCCGTAGCTATTTCAAAAAATTCAAAGATAATTTGAATACATTATACAAAATGACTAAGATTAAAAAAGTAAAAAAATACCTTTGTTTCCGTCTCACCATGAAATTTGCCGAAAATTTCCGGACCGTTAATCAGAACTAAATGAGCACCAGTCTCAGCCGCAACTGCTCGAGCTATTAAGGTTTTGCCTGTGCCTGGTGGTCCATGCAATAAAATACCTTTGGGAGGCTGAACACCTTTTATTTTATAGTAATATTAATATCAAACATTTTGCAAAAATTTCGCAAATAATGTATAAAGATACTGACCATAGTAATCAAAAAGCTCGGGATTTGTGAATGGCAATTCAACCATTTCTCGAACAATCTGGATTTCCTTTGAAAGCCCGCCTATAGATTTGAAACCGACTCCCTTCGATTTCAAATTTGTGCTAACATCTTTCGATGTTGTGGCCTTTGTTTTTATAAAAATATGAAATACAAAATAATTTGAATTAAAAAAAAAATTAGAACTCAGAAAAATACATACGTGTCGAGGATTCACCAAAATTGTCACTTTGGTATCGCGGCTTATCGTATAGATCGACTCGGGTAACGAAATGCTAGTATTTTCTCCAAAATTCGTGAAATTCGATTGAATATCAACGACCTGAAACTGACGAATTTTACCGTGATATTGAACTTGGACAAGATTCGTAGACAACAAATACTTTAGATTTACTATTTTATTAAATTTTGGAAATTCTCAATGTCAAGACCAATTTATATAAGCATCGGTTTTTAATGAACAGAAAATGAATTGTTACCGAGTGTTTCCTTCATAAAAATATGCAAAATCTGATTTATTGGAAAATCAGGCACCTCTACTGGCGCCAATACTATTTTCGCTGCGGCCACGACCGATTTCTCAATCCGAGAGACCAGAGCGAAATCGTTTATTTCAAGATGTGCATTCTCACATTGTGTTTTCGATAGTTGGATTTCTACAAAATGAATAGTTATATAGCAAACTATAAGATTCGAAATAATAAATACATGTAGATGGCAATACCATTAGGTTGTATTGTAAACGATGGCCACGCTACACCAACTGTTGAAGTTATAACAGCCTATTTTCAAAAAAAGCATTTTATGCGGCAATAATAACGATTAAAAATTCCCGAATCTAAAAATGTACATGTTCATGTATTTACTTGATCATCAAGTAACTCGTTATCGTCATTTTTAAACTGACGAATCAACACATAATCTCCGGTACAAATTTTTCGCTGTCGCATCGTTTCCACATGAATATATACTTTTCGTTCACCGATGGATGACAAACTATTGCTAGTACCCTTATTATCTTTGGATGATTGAACGACAATGAGTGGGTTTTCGTCTGAAGACGATGTCGATGATTTCATTTTCAAGTTGGCCATTCTGGAAAAAAATTTTTTATGTTGACATAATTTTATTATTAATATTGATCACGTTAATTACGTATACAACTCTATTTTTTGTGGTATCTGTATCAAAAATAAGTTTGAGAATTTTTTTTCTGTGCAAAAAAAAGCATAAAAAAAATTGAATCGAAAGAAGTACATATACATGTAAATATCACTATAACGATAACATGTATAGATATGCAATAACAATAACGATAAATAAATTCTGTGTACTATCGCTATCGACGACTGATCTGAACTAATAATGGTTTTTTCATCGGTAATGTCAAAGACCTGCCAGGCTCAGGCTCCTCTTCAATCTTTAGTTTAATTCTGAATTTACGCAGAATCATTGTTGTCAACATCAATACTTCAATGGTAGCAAATTGATGTCCCAAACTAATATTAAAAAAAATTACATGATTTAGAATTTACCTATCAGTTATTTGAAAAAATTTTTAATAAATAATAAAAACGTACCATGCACGTGGTCCAGCGTTAAACGCAATAAACTTTGTTTGACTAAACTTTATAATATCTCCATGCTCATCAAGAAACCGTTCCGGTTTAAACAAATCCGCATCAGCTCCCCAAAGTCTCTTAGATCGACCAATAACCCATGCGTGGTATGTGATGATAGTGCCCGAGGGGATGAATGTGCCGTCCGGTAATATGTCGTCGTTGACTGCCAGTTTGCCAGTTTTCGGAACGGATGGGTAGAGACGGAGAGTTTCATAAATACTGAAAAATCAAAATAATAAATATACTTAGAGAAATCAAGCAAGCGCATCTTTGAAAATAACAAACTCACACAGCGGTAGCATATTTCAGTTTTCTGGTATCGTCATATGTAGGCGACGCGTCAGGATCAAGAATATTTTCTATTTCTTCCAGAAGCCGTTGTTCAACTTCTGGGTGTGTGACGATTAGATAAAACATCCAGCTAAGACGTTAAATCATTCAATTATTTTTACGTTACGATATATAAGGTTCATTAGTAACTTCTTTTAAATTGCTTACCTTAATGCTTGAGCAGTTGTATCACGACCAGCTATCATACTTGAATTTGTGAATAAAAAATTAAAGATATAAAATTTGCAAATCAAAGAATGAATTTTCTGGTTTCATTCAAATCTCTGGAAGATTTCTTCATATATGAATCATATAAAAAGTTTACCAAAAAAAATAAAGGATACAAATTAATAAAAATATCGCGTAGCTCCTCATCATTCAACCTACAAACATTACCATCACCTTGTTCCCCTCCTTTCTCCACCACATTTTCACTATCATCCAAATCAACTTCTACATGCATAAACAAACTAAGCAAATCATTCTTATTCTTTCCCTCCGGATCATCATTTCGTCGTTGCTTTATCAACTCCTCCACGTAATTATGAAGAATGACAATTGCCTCACGAAACTTTTTCCCGGTTGCTGAGTATTTTTCCGTTAGTTTCCAGAATGGCGAGACGAAACGGTATTCAAGAACGTTTTGAGCAAAGTCAAACGCTGTCGCGAACGGATTTGGCGAGTTGGGGGTCATAAGACAATTGAATGATTTGCCGAATGAGACTCTTTCGAGATTATGAATAATTTGTTATGATCATGATTAACTGTAAGAGTTTGCTGATGGTAAATTTATCAACTTACTGTCCGAAACAATCCATCGTGAAACGATAAAATAGGTTTTGGAGATCAATGATTTCACCAGTTTCAGCCGCCTTCGATAAAATGTCAACAACTACGAGACTTTCGTTTGCAAATACTGTGCATAGTAAATCTCGAAAATTGCGCACATTGAAGATTTTTGATGCTGTTTTTCTGATTTTACATGTAATTCGGATTATAAAAATATTATTCGAATCAAATAAAATTTAAACAATGTATAATGAACCTTTGTAATTTCCATCCTTCGCCATCTGAAATCACATGAATTCGAGATATATTAATATTAATAAAATTCATTAGAAATGATTGGTAGCTCTATTACCTACCCGACGCGAAAATTCCGTTTCCAAGAATATCATGTAATCGATTAAACATATATTCACCCTTGACATAATTTTCAAAATTTGCTGATTATATTCAAACGAATTAATTCTTCAGTAAATACATAACGATAAAAAAAATATCCATCATAAATTACAATACTCACTTTTCAAAACATATTCCAAAATGACTGGATCATTTATTCTTTAAATTATATCATAAAAACAAGAAAATCAACATAACAATTCTTAAAATACTAAAAAACATATAAATCAATACCCACGCCACAACTCTTCCGATACCAGGAACAGATAAAGTCCTAAAATTAATTTACCAAAGCTACTTTCTGTCATCAGATTCAAAAAAAAAACTTCAAATTATGATACAGCAATAGCCACGTACCAGATAGGTCCATACGTATCATACAAAGATCGAAATTGATCCAACGCCATTTTCTCACCGCCATGTTTCATCACAACAGATATTAAATTTCCGATCAATGGTAATCCTTTTGGTCCTATTTTGTTTGGGAAAACGAATGTGAACACTTAAAATTCAACTCAAAACTCGAATGAGCAAAAATATATGAATAATTCTGGCGGCGCGTTAATTAATACACATATATATAAACATAACATCCAACAACATACCAGGATATCCATGAAACTCTGGTGTGCCAATAGCTCTATCTGGATACTTATACACTATATATATCAATATCCCAACTAGCACTATAAATATAGATATCATATTTTTTATACATGTGCATGTATCAATTACATGTAAAATCTTTTAATTTGCTCGTACATGGGCCACATGATTCTGTACAACATAAACATGAACGGTGACTCGAAAGACAACGAAAAAATTTCAGTGTTGCTATACTCATTTTAAAAAGGATGTTAATGTTGACATTCTAAAGAAATCAAGTGGTCTACATGAATATTTTTAATTATTGAAAATTTAACTCCAAATAGTTTTGTTATCACCAATTTTCATGCATACAATTTTTCAGCTAAATTTATTACTTATTATTAGTATTAGTTTTTGCTAGCATTAATTGGGCATTTCAGAATTTAATAACTAACGGTAAATGAATTTTATCAATTTAGCAAGAAGCTCATTTTTTATTAGATCAATTTTCTGATAACAAAACTATTTAGAGTTAAAATTCATTGATTAAAAATGTTCATAGATTTTTTATGTTTTTAAAATGAGTACATTTAACCGATACATTGGATTTTTTCGTAAAATTTTTTCGTTTTTCATTTCTTTTGCGAATTATTGTACATATTTAAAATTATATAGTAAAAATATTTTTCATACTTTTATAATTAATCATTTTTTGAAAAATAAAGTTGACTTTAAAATTTAGAAATAATTATTAAAAGAGATATGAATATTGCCATTATTTTGATATGATTATTACAGTTACTCTTTCTTTGAGCTTATATAAAATTATTAGATGAGACAAAAAATGAGTCATAATTGTTATAATCAAAAATTTTTTAAACTGCTTTATTACTTCATAAATCCATACCAGATTTTCTCTATAAAAATATAATTGATAATTTGAATAGATCTTAATTTTTGATCTCATATCAGTTTTTATTAGCTAAAATCTTTTTTTATCAAGTTATAATAGTATTTTACTATAAGTTAATGAAAATTGATATATTTAATTCTGTATAAAAGATTTTTTGTCTTATTATCTTTTTTATTATTATATTATACCTGACTTTTTGATATTCTTTTCTTGAAGAATTCAAAAAATTACGAATTTAATATTAAAAAACTCGCAGTTTAAAATTGCTCAAAAATAATAAATACAAGTAAAAAAAAAACTATCTATTAATATTATAACTAGTTTAATCTTGATAATGTTGATAATGCTGATAATTATAAATATAATTATAATAATTCTAGTTAACAAGAAATTAATGATTTTATTTTGTTGGTTTATTTAATTTTATTAATTTATTTAATTAAATCATTATTTTTATTTCTTTATTTAAATTTAATAATAGTTACAAAAATAATTATAAAATAATTATAATAATAATAATTATTATTATAATAAAAATTATAATAATACTATAATAATTATATAATCATAATAATATTTAATAAGTATAATTATAATAATAGCTAATTATATATTTAATCATATTTTATATTTTTCTGACTTAAAAGATTAAAAATGAAGAAATATTAATTCAAATAATAAATAACTTAGAATTTTTAATATTAATTAATACAATGATTATCATAAATGTTTGGAATTTTTAAATTTATATATAAATTATATGATAAAGAATGAATAGAATTTTGTGAAATTTTTATATGTTTTTTGATATGAAAAAGATATATTGATATAATATCTTATTAAAAATATTATTAAATTATAAAAAACTAAAAATAACTATAAATATAACTAATTTTATTATTTAATGAAAAAATATCAGAATTATATTAAAATTTATAAATATCTTTTTTGTAATATAATAAACAATTTCATTTATAATAAAAATAATAGGATTACTTAATATTATTTTTAATAATATAAGCTCAATCTTTATTAGATCTGACTTATTTTTTATAATAAATTTTACTGAGAAAAGTATAATAATAATTAATAATAATTAATATAATTTTATAAAATATTTAAATCAAACTTATTTTATAGATTATAAAGAAGATATATTTAAATTATCAGATAATTTTAATAATTTTTCATTATTTTATGTATTATATTAAAAGTTTCAATATTTATAATGATTATTATATTAAATAAAAAAAAATTATTTTATATAAAACTTGAAAAGTAATTATATTATATATAACAAATTTAATTAGATTTTTTTTAATTTAGATCTTTATTTTATGCTTTTTATATTATATTTTTCAGTTTGTATTACTTTATTTAAAGATTAATTTTATTATAAATATATAAATAATTATTATATATTAATTTAATTAAATTAATTATATATTATTATATTAATAATTTACTACAATAATGACCAAAAGTAATAACTCAGAGGCTAAATTTATTAATAAAATATAGTGAAAGTTAAAATTTTCTCTCTATATTAAAATTTATAATTTTATCAAGAAATAATTTTTATTTTTATATTAAAATAAAGTTTATCAGTTGTAGTTTAATATATATTTTTTCAGATTTTTTAGATTTTTTCTGAAAGAGTTGCTCTAATTATAAAGTTAGTATAAAAATTTTTATTAATTAAATTT